TAATGGACCATAATAATTATTTTCTAAAATATCTTAAAATTTTATTTTGAATATCAAACATATCTGTAAGACACACGGGCCGTTATGATGAGTTGCGATAATATTTGTAGGCTACATGGACTGAAATCAGAGGAGTTGTGAGCCACGCAGGTTATAGTAAATCATGTAAGTTGTAGTGGTGAGTTGTTATGACATCAGTAGGTCCTAGTGTCTGAAGCGAGGAGTTGTACGTGTTGTGAGCTACGTAGAACGTAGTGATGAGTTGTGATGACATTTGTAGACTGCAAGGGCCGGAGTCGGGAGTGAGTTCTATCGCTTAAACTTTCTTGCCCGATAAAAAAATGTTCAAACTGTTTTGATTATAGAAATTGTGTGGTACGTATGTAAATGCCACATTACAATTATTAAAGAGAATTTTGTTAATGAGAGAAGTTTAACATTATTTTTTGCTAGTAAATACATTGGTAACGTGATACATTAATCTTATATTAATGTACAAAGATTCAACATACACATAAATAAAAAGAAGAGCTGGTAGAGGGAATAACATGAGTTTTTATGTGAAAAACTCAAAAGGGTAAAAATCATAGTCTAACCCGGTTGAAATGATTGCACTATGCCGATGTAAGTTACAAAACTTTTATTGGTCATTAAATAGTCGGAAGCAATATTACATAAATCAGGGTTATCAACATGACTTCCGTTAAGGAAGGGTAAAATAAGTATGAAAAGTGGCAATAACACACTGTTGTGAAAGAAGACATGCAATAGAGGTTATCTGTCAGAAAATATGATGTCAGAGTCGCCAGTAATAGCAGTCTACCTAGCAGTGGAGGTACGACAGTACTCCATTTGTAGTGAGGTTGTTTGATGGGTAGTGACGACGATTTGGTAGTAGAGACAGTTCTGGTCGGGCAATTATGGTTTAATGATGGAGATGACCTGAAGGTGGTGGTCTAGAGATGAGATGATGATAGTCATGAGGCAATGAAGATGGTGGTTGGACAAACGGTCTGACGGTAGTGGCCCAACGGTGAGCACCATCAGCCTTCTTCTCCAGATTTAGGCTCCACTTATGAAGGGAGTGGGGGTCTATTTATAGATTTTGGAAGTGACATTTTATATAAATACTGTATGAATCCAGACAATTCCGTCGAACGCCCTATATGATTCCCTTTATCATATATAATTATTTGAACGCATTGTTCAAGTTTGAATTAAGTGATTTTAAGCTCACTAGATTAATCTCATCAAAATACTTGATTTTACTTTAAAGTTATCAGATATGAATATTATTTGGTCCTTCTAAATAAAATTCAAAATTTTTTATGCTTTAAGTGCATGATATAAGCTCACTTATGCTAAGATCAGACCATTATATATATATATATATATATATATATATATATATATATATATGTATATA